ATATATATATATATATATATATATATATATATATATATATATATATATATATATATATATATATATATATATATATATATAAGGACATAGGAGGCACCTAGAAATCAACCACAATAGATATCATCACACAAGAATTCCCAAGGGACTCCCCACCACCAAGCCTAGGGAGATCAAAACGGACAGAAATCTTAGGGAATGACCTTAATAGCCAAGGGATGATTAATTAAGGCTAAGAGGAAACCCATGTCTCAACAAAACCTATTTTCTTCGCTATAATTTCCTTCCTTGGCCTCCCTCTAAATTCTTGTGTCTTGATTGAATTCTTCTATGATAATGATGTTATGTTCTTGATGATTGATAAGATGATTTATATGCTTTCTTAATCTTGATGATCTTGATGTTAAAAAGAAGTTCTTGATTATGATATGACGATTCTTTACGGATCTTGATATTTCTTGATGTTAAAGATAAAATATGTTCTTGATGATTTGGGTGAGATTAGAGCCCTAGGTTGGATTGGAAATTTGTATTGTGATGATCTTGATTTATATTTGGGTGGGATTTCGCATGTTCGGGTGTTGTTTATATTTAGAAGTCATAATAGGATAAGTCCTACATGATTCTTGCTTTTGATCCGTTAATTGCTTACGTGATGTCATTATTTGCGTTTAAAAGTGTCTAAGCAAGGTTTCGGGTTCCACAAAGGTTCTCGGGACGAGTATACGAGTAAAGAGTCAGTGGGGGGTAGATGGGGGTGGGGGAACCCACCACCTACCCGCTGCCCAAAGGGCACTGCCCGGCAGCGGGCAGCCACCGGGCAGCTGGCTGCCCGCTGGCAACCCGCTGCCCGGAACAGTGCCCACCAGCGGGCAGCCGGCGGGTGACCCCCACCCACCGGCTACCCGCTGGTCTGCACCCCACCCCGGGTCCCTGGCTTCCCCGTTTGTTGTTCCCCATCCCCCGTGGTGTCCCAACGGACCCCGTTTGTCGTGCCTGAGTCTAGTTTGATGTTTCAGGTACCCTTCGTAGGATAAAAGAGTCTTAGGAATCGCATGCTAGTTGAATTGGTAACCCGTAGACCTAGGAGGAAGTTGTATGAGCCCTTAGGAATTATTCTTAGTATGTGAATGATCACACGTAAGTTTATTTATATGTCTTTCCCCTCTAAATGTGCTATTACGTGCTCCTACGTGTTATGTGTTGCATGATCCCCCATTTTGGCTATAGGCCAATTGGGTGGTTCCCGGACTAAGGTTCGGATGTCGGTTGAAGACCGAATGGATTGTTCCCGGACTGAAGGGTCAGAAGTGGCTGAAGGCCAATGGATTGTTCCTGAGCTAAGGCTCAGAAGTGGCTAAGGCCAAATTGATACACTTCTTGGACTACAAGTCCAAATATGGGCCTCGGTGCTATGACCCACCGGACCTGAACGCGCCAGGACGGTGTGTAGGGCCAATAAGCCGAGGAAGACTGTAGTCCACCGACCTGAGTAATCAGGCGCTGTGTAGGGCTACGACTGGCTGCGATCCACCGAATGGTGGGACAGCGGTGTGTAGGGCCATAGTGTTCGAGGATCTTCGCCCACCGACTGAGTATAGCTCAGCGGTAAGCCGGGCTTGATCCGCTATGGTCCACCGACTGTGCGCATCGACGGTGTGTAGGGTCGTAAGTCCCCCCTTGTAAAGGGGATCACGGTCCACCGACTGTGTGCGTCAGCGGTGTGTCGGATCGTGGTCCGACGTAGACTTCGTCAGCGGTTCTCAAAGGGTTGGTTGCGATCAACTCCCCTCGTACCGCGGTACTGAGGTAGGGTGCTGCGGGGCCATGTTAATGCTATAAGCATTAACCCTCATGTTCGGGGCATGCGATTGGTCCCGTGGTGCCATCAATGATTATGTGATATGAATGGTGATTGGATGATGATGTGTTTTGGAATTGGAAAGTGATCTGTGAACTTAAATGTGTACTCCTTATGATGATATCTCTACTTAACTGATTATTATTGTTTGTTGTTCTTATTTGCTGAGTCTATTCCCAGCTTTTAAAATTAGTGTCTCTTAAGTATATATCTTCCTGCTTCAAAATGGTTTTCGTATATCTATATATATATCTATCTATAATATATTTCAACGCGTTGGAGTGGGTTACCAGCATCTCTCGCTGAACAGATATATTTGGCTTTCAGGCACGGATTAGTAGACACGGGAGCGCGCTAGAGATTGGAAGCGTAGAGTAGATAGTTCCCTTTCGCCCTGCGTGTTATGCTTATGTATTGACATTATTGAGGATTTTAGATAGTTAGCCTGTGCACCTGAGTTTTTTAGCTCAGGTGTGGCATAGCAGCCCATACTCTTATATTATACCTTTGGGAATTAATGAGAATTTACCTTTATAATATAAGTCTTAAAAGTTGAAAAAATTTTGGGGTGTTACATTTTCTCCCCTCTCCCAATGTGTTAATATGAATTGCATGTGCTTGCTACGTATTATGTGCATGACTCCCCAATATTGGTTGCGGTCAAATTGGTTTTATATGGGCTGCAGTCCACCGATTGAGCTCGTCAACGGTGTGTAGGGCTACAGTCCACAAAGAGGGCCACGGTCCACCGATTGAGCTCGTCAACAGTGTGTAGGGCTGTGGTCTGCCGCTGAGCTCGTCAGCGGTCTTACAGGGGCTGCGGTCCACCGATTGAGCTCGTCAACAGTGTGTAGGGCCGCAGTCCACAAAGAGGGCCACGGTCCACCGGTTGAGCTCGTCAACGGTGTGTAGGGCTGTGGTCCGCCGTTGAGCTCGTCAACGGTCTAATGAGCTACGGTTCATCGGTTGGCTGCGGTCAACCCCTTCATGCTGCGGTATGAGGCAAGGTGCTGCGGGGCTGTGTTAGCGCTATATGTGCTGACCCTCATGTATGGGCATGCGATTGGTCCTGTGGCGCCACCAAAGTGTGCTTATGTGATAAAGATATTGATTGAAAGATGATATAAGTGATATGAAATTAACCTGTGACCTTAGGATATATGATGATGTCTTTATATGTTTGATTATAACTGTTAAATGTGATTGTCCCTACTTGTCGAGTCGATTCCTGGTTTTAAAGCTAGAGTCTCCTAAGTATATATCTTCCTGCTTCAAAATGGTTTTCCTATATCTATATATATATATACCTATATTGTATTTTAACGCGTTGGAGTGGGTTACCAGCATTATTCGCTGAACAGATATATTTAGCTTTCAGGCACAGATGAGTAGCTCCGGAGCGCGCTAGAGAACCAAAGGCTTAGATAGTTAGCTTCCTTTTTTGGTCTGCGTGCCATGATGATGTAATGACATTGTTTTGAGGATAATTAGATAGTTTAGCCTGTGCATCTGAGTTCTCGAGCTCAGATGTGGCATAGCACCCCAAACACTTATGTTTAGTATGTTCTGTTTTGGGAATTAATAAGAGATTACCTTTATTATATAAGTTTAAAAAGTTTTTGAAAATCTGAGGTGTTACAAAGATGGGAAGGCAAGGTTCCTCTTACTAACAAGTTGGCTATGTCGGCATACCATGGTGTTAGAGATATTCCAAACAACTTTTCCTCAGGAAAACATTCTTGAGTTTTCTTTGAACGGGAAATGAGACAAATGGGTGTTATTTGCCTAAAATGTTGTATGCCGAGTGTGGGGAAGCACATTGTGATGTATTGCAGGGATTTAGGGCAAAGATAGAAGGAGATGAGGTGGAAAGATCAAGGTGATCCTGCAGACGCATGTCACCACTGTCACTAACTCGTGACTAAGAAACAAAAAGTTTCACGAGTGGTCCATGATCGTGGCCGTGTCGTGACCAGAAAACATAGACTGCCATGACAGGATCCACGATCGTGACCAGTTTGTGGATAAAAAACAGAAAGTCCTACGAGCTGAATCCACGCTCGTGGCAGGAGGCGCCCGGTGCATAAGTGACTTGGTCACGAGCGGTCCACAATCGTGGCCAACTCGTGACTAGGGGCAATTCCAGGCGCGAAGAAAGGTTTAAAAGGGGGATTTTTCTTGTTATTAGAGATCTAGACATTTCCTTAGCTTGTATGTCGTTCTTGTAGAATCCCTAGACACATTAGTACTTCAATTGTAGATAGAAAAAGTTGAAGAATTAGATTCTTAGATTGATTACTTCATCAATTGTGGATTGGAACTCAATTTTGGATTGCAATTGGTATACATTTACTTTCTCACACCTTAATTTCTACTTTCATTGTTTTCATCTTTTCTTGATTGCAATTTGAGATTGTATTGGTCCACAATGTTTATTTGTGGCTAGATTCCATAGGAGTTGGATGTGAACTTCCAAAGCTTATGCATTCTAGTTTATAATTGTTCCTATGATGAGATTTGGTGCATGTTAGGTTTTCCTTTATTGTGAACACTCTTTGTTTGATCCTTGCTTGTTGATGGCCACAATAGGTTAGGATTGTGAGAATATGAGGTTTGCAAGAGATTGAGATCTCATAAAAGTCTTTTTTGTTTGCACTCACGCCCTACGATCCGAGAGGGCTAGGTCTGGAAGGAGATGTAGACCACATGTTTGATGAAATGCCTTAGTCACCTTGTGATGCCTAAGAGTCTAAGTCTTGAAAAGCTTAGTGATAGTGCCAATTCTCCCTTAGTATCTCTCATGCACCTTATCAATTCTACCTCGGAAAAGGAATGCATTGGCCTAGGAAGTTCTTGTCCAGTTCCGCTTCCATTTCATTGTTTACTTACCTGTTAGCTTCGTTATACTTTCATGCTTTGTACACTTGCAATAATACCCATGCACCTAGCACTACTTGCCAATACATTACTTGTGTAAGCACTTGAACCTCTCCAAGTTGCCATCCGGTGAGAACGACACTCGGGAATCTTTATTCCTCCCACTTTCCATCCATCAATACGCAAAGCACACAAAACAATTTCATCACCTCCCTAGGATGAGCGGAACCTCCACATCAGGGTCCATATATCAAGAATGACGAAATCAACTGGAAATATGAATTTGTCTACCCTTACCAAGACGTCCTCTACAAAAACCACGATGGTACTTGGTGGACCTATCAGCCAACTGGATGCAGATCCGAGTTGGCTTGAGGGTGCTCAAATTCAAATTCTAAAAAGACTATAAGGCATCAAGTTAATACTAGCACCCTAGTCGGCTAAAGCTTTATTGAATTTTACTCACCAATGTTGCAAGGAATTGTAAAGCTCCGGATCCCCGGATCTTTGAGTTTCTAAGGCATTTCCTTATGCACAGTTGCTCCTTGAGAAACTTCGCATAATAGGGCATTTCTTCGAGTGCGTCAACAAATGGCATATCAATATGTAATTGGTGTAGCATTTGGAGAAATTTCCCATATTTTGCGTTGTCAATGTCATTCCGAAATCTTTGGGGAAACAGAACTTTTGGCTTCCGGGTAGGGAGTTGGTTGTTTTGCACCTCCTTCCCCTTCTTGGCGGAGAGATCTATACGCGTAGGCTCTTCTTCCTCGTCAACATCCTCCATGCCTCCTACATTTGAAGATTGAGCGTTGTTTGTCGCAACAGGGGGGAGGGGGGAGGGGGTTCATCTCTTGGTGGATCAACAGAATTGTTCTTTGCCTCTTGGAGTGCTTTTCCACTTCGTAGGGTGATGGCATGGACCTCCATTTGTTTCCTTCTTATTAGGTTATCGATCCACAGGGAAGTGGAGCGTATCAAGCACTAGCTACTAATTTATTATTGTGAAACTAATCCTAATGATTATCATGGATGGTTGATTAAACATAAAACTAATAAAGCAAAGCAGCATGTTTGTGAAAACAATAGAGAGGGAATGAGATTCCTGGGATTCAAGTATTTAATCACCTAGTGCCAACCTTATGAACAATATTAAATCTTTGGGGTTTAAACAAGTGTGTGAATGCAAAGATGGGATAGAGTTACTCCCGTGATGGGCATATTTTACGCTCATATTTTAGGAACATCTTTATAATATTTTTATATTAATTATTTAATATTATCTAATAATTAGTTCTTTTTATATATATAATGTTTAACATAATATATAATACATATAATATATAATATATATAATATATAATATATAAAATGCATATTATATGTATATATATATATATAAAAAAAACGTACTGCATTGGAAATATATATATATTTTATAAATTTACTTTAGTATTTAGAAGTTTGCGTTCATTTCTATCTTAATAATTTAAGTATTAGTTCATGCAACCAAACAAATAAACATTATTACATTTATGTTGTTTTTTTTTTCATTCGTACAGCATTTCGTCAACTCCCCTATTTCGACGGACATCAATACAAAATAGCGGAAGACTTCATCACTTTGGCGCAATAGTAGGGAATGGGTGGTGAACAATAGTTAGAGATATGTATAAATAGTATAACATTTTATTTGTTCATCGTTCATTCTTCCCCTCTCGATTATTCTTTAAAGTTGTTACCAATGTCCATTTGTGGCTAATTTCTTCTAGCTTGGCTTAGTGAATTGATGCCCCGGAATTGATTATGCTGTAAGATTATTTATTTATTTTTATTATATATGTTTCTATGCATTTGAGTATTAAATATTCTGCTAAAATTATTTGAATAGTTGTATCATTTAATTGCTAGGGAGGCCTACTAGTTATTTATTTGATATAATTATTTGCTATATTAGATAATGTTGTGCTACAAATTACTCTAATATTCAGTAGCAACTGGGTTAATTATTGACGGCTTAGTGATAATTGGACTCGGGTAGAATATTTTTCTAAATTAAATGCAACCGCTTGTGCTTGTGTTATTTAGTTTGTCGGTTTTCCTAGTTCCTATTGCTGCTATTAAATTAAATCTATAGTGCTTGTCTTAGGTTATTTAGTAGTTAGGGGTAATTAAACCGCGTGTGCTTTAGTTACCTACAACTAAGGGAAAACGGAAATGAAATAATTTCACGACAAATATTTAACTGCATATTAATTACTTTATAAATCAGTGATCAGTGTTAAACTCCGGTGGTGGATCTTTACTGACCAAGGTTTCTTATTATAAGTGTTTTCGATATATTATTTTCACTGTTTATTCGTTCGATTAAATTTCTCGTTTATTTAATTTCTCTTTTATTTAATATTTATTCTCGATATATTCCAAACCCCCCTTCCTTTAATTTGAGCACAAAAGTTAAACTAGTTACTCCTCGTGGGATCGATCCTTACTCCCGCTACTACATTTGTAAGGTTTTAATTTGGGAGCCTACGACAGCTCACCAAATTTTGGCGCCGTTGCCGGGGAGCTTTTCTTGTTTATTTTGTGTTTATTTAATTATTTATTTGTTCATCTGTTTTTCTCGCTAATTTGTCCCATAAAAATTTTTTAAAAAAAAACATTTTCTTTCGTTACCTTTACATAATCGCTGCAATATATTTTCTTTTTGTTTATGCCTATAACTCGATCTGCTAATAAAAAAATCTTGCCGTACGATCCGGAAATTGAAAGAACTGTACGCAGGTGGAAGAAACAAGCTTTGAGGAAATTGGAGTTTAGTGATCTGGCTACCGACCCTCAACCTTCCAACAATTCTGATTCAGAAGGGGAACCCATGGCTCAAAATCGGACTTTAAAAGAGCTTGGAGCTCCAAATTTGGATCAGCAACCTTTATGCATCACTTTTCCCGCTCTAGATGCTAATGTACAATTCGAACTGAAATCTGGATTAATTCATCTTTTGCCTTCTTTTCATGGACTTGCAGGTGAAGATCCGCACAAACACTTAAAGGAATTTCATGTGGTGTGTTCGAGTATGAAACCCACTGGGGTTACTGAAGAACAAATCAAGTTAAGAGCCTTTCCCTTTTCGTTGAAAGATTCAGCGAAGGATTGGCTATACTATCTACCTTCTGGGAGCATCACCACTTGGAATAACTTAAAGACACTAATCCTTGAAAAATATTTCCCAGCTTCAAGGGCGGCCAACATTAGAAAGGAAATTTGTGGTATAAGGCAAAACAATGGAGAGTCATTGTATGAATATTGGGAGCGTTTCAAGAAACTATGTGCAAGCTGCCCACACCATCAAATTAGTGATCAATTACTCATTCAGTATTTTTATGAAGGACTTTTTCCTATGGATAGAAGCATGATTGATGCCGCAAGTGGTGGTGCCTTAGTTGACAAGACACCGGACGCTGCGAGAACTCTAATTGCAAACATGGCTGCAAATTCTCAACAGTTTGGCAATAGACTTGTCCAACCGTCTAAGCAAGTGAATGAGGTAAATATTTCTGCTCTTGAGCAACAAATTTCTGGTTTAACTACTCTTGTTCGTCAATTAGCTGTAGGCAATATGCAAACTGTAAAAGCATGTGGAATTTGCTCGGTAGTTGGGCACCAAACTGATGCCTGCCCAACTCTTCAAGAAGTTGAACAAGTCAACATGGCTGGAGGTTTTCCTGGACAACCTCAAGGTAAGTATGATCCATTTTCTAATAAATATCATCCTGGATGGAGGGATCACCCGAACCTTAGCTATGGGAACGCACAAGGGAACCAGTTTGTTCAGAATCGTTCCAATTTTCAACAGTATAGACAACAATTTCCTTCCAGCCAACAACCAGCCCAAAGCTCTAGCTCAGGTATGAATCTAGAAGATATTGTTAAAACTCTTGCTACTAACACTTTGCAGTTTCAACAAGAAACACAACTATTCCAACAAGAGACAAGAGCTAGTATTCAAGAAACAAAGGTTAGTATTCAAAACTTAGAAAGGCAAGTGGGCCAACTAGCAACTACGGTAAGTCGGTTGGAAGCACAGAGCTCTGACAAATTACCCTCTCAAACGATCGTTAATCCTAAAGAGAATGTAAGTGCAATTACTGTGAGAAGTATGTCGCTGGAAAAGAATGTTGATTTAGACAAGGAAATAAGTGCAGGTAACATTACCAATAAAGAGAAGTCCCAAGGTAACCTTTCTTCTTTTTCTGATTTTGAACCAGTACCCCCTTTTCCTCAAGCTCTTTTGGAACCAATAAGAGGAAACTCAAATAATGATTTATATGAGACATTTCGTGAATGTGAGGCTAATAAACCATTTTTAGATTCTATGAAAAAGGTACCTCGCTATGCAAATTTTCTAAAAGAGGTATGCACATTGAAAAAGAAACAAAATAAAGGAGTTGATGAAGTGAAAGTGCATGAGAATGTCTCTATGGCTAGTCAAGGCAATCTTCCTGAAAAGTGCAAAGATCCAGGTATGTTTACTATTCCGTGCATGATAAGTGGTGTGAAACTTGAAAATGCTATGTTAGATTTAGGAGCTTCTATTAATGTGATGCCATATTCTGTTTATAAATCGTTAAATCTTGGACCCCTGAATAAATCTAGTATAGTAATTCAATTGGCTGATGGATCTACTACATATCCTAGGGGTGTGGTTGAGGATTTGCTTGTTAAAGTTAATAACTTGGTTTTTCCTGCTGATTTTTATGTCCTTGATATGGAAAATAATAATCAAATTTCTCATATTTTGTTAGGAAGACCATTTTTAAAAACCGCAAAAACGAAAATTGATATTCATAGTGGCATGCTTACAATGGAGTCTAATGGTAAATTTGTGAACTTTAATATTTATGATACCATGAAATCTCCTAGTGATGATAATTTTGCAATTTTTGTTGATTCCTTGAAACTTGTTAAATTTAATGCAATTGCTTCTATTGAAAATAAAGAAGAACCAAATAATAAATCATCTTTGAGTCCTAATCTGCATGAAGGGGCTATTTCTTTGAATACTCATAATCATCGAAGGTACTCAAAAAGACGATGGAAATTTAAAGATATATCATAAGTCGAGCCAACGACGATAAACAAAGGCGCTGCTTGGGAGGCAACCTAAGGTGTGTTTGTTCCTTTTTTATTTTATTTTATTTTATTTTATTCTCTATTCTCATTCAATAACCCTTTTCCTATAATTTTTATTCAACATTGGGGACAATGTTGATAATAAGTGTGGGGGAGGGGATTTAGTTTTATTATTAGTTTGCTTATGTAAAAAAAAAAAAAAAAAAAAAAAATTATTATTATTTGTTTTCTTATTTCAAAATTTTCAAAAATATTTTACTAGTATTTTATGCAAAATAAGTATTATTTTGAAAAATTGCTATATTTTCCTTTCCTGAAAAGCATAACATGATTGAATAAATAGTTTGGCAAATTGTGATTAGTTTGTTAGCATTTCCTGTTTGATATGTAGTAGTTATATTAAGTAAGCAATAAATCTGTGAGTGTTTTTGAGCCATTGACTGACACTTCGGTCTTATTTTCTTTCTATTGTGTGATTTCTTCCATAATCTTGTTTCTCTAGAACTTGCCTTGATTCTCTTTTAAAGCTAATTAGACCATGCATGATTCAAATGTGATTAAGGCCATTATTTGACTTTGAGCCTCACTAGCCAAATAACCGGTTTGTCCTATGATTTATTTCCCTTTGTTAACCACTTTGAGCTTTATGGACAT